TGTGTATATAACCTACATTTGTGTATTTTATGCCCTGTATGACTTTTCGCGTTATTGCTTTGTTTAAGGTTCATTCGAAGCCCCAAGCTTCGAGCAAAGGAGGCAGGACAGTTTGGAGAAATTAAGGCCAGATGCCGTTTGGATGCTGTTTGCGATCAAATCTGACCAGGATAAACTTAGTTTGTTTCTTGTTGCTTCCCTTTGTTTTTTTAGTTCTTGCCTAATATACAGGCTTGAGGGGGAGTGGGAGGGTTTGTGTAATTTGATTGAGTGCCCTACTATTTTCGGGCAATGCATACAGCTTGCAAGGTTTTTAAGCAGTCTATTGTACAGATTCGTTCGCAGGAACTTAACTTATTGCAGGAATTTATATTACGGCAAAAGCAATATGTAGGGTATGAGAAACAGGCCAGCAGAGTTATGCGGTTTACAGAGAACATCGCGAGCTACCCGCTTATTCGATCTGCCTTTCCTGTCATTATGGGCACCATCATACAAACAGCATGGTTTCAAGCCTTCACTAAAAGACCTTTGACGTGTCTGCAGTGATAAGGTGAATTTGCTTCAGGAATGCCATGCAGACATTGAAGTCCGTTCACAGTGACATTGAAGTTCTCTCCCTCGGAAATAAAGGCTCCCTGAATATCTTCACTCCGCAAATGCGGTGGGTCTACCATGTGGGAGAAACGAACTGTTTTAACACTATTTTATACAAACTCGAGTCACGAAGATCTCTTTCCTGTTCCACCACACCACGGCTAACTACAAAAAACAACCCTTCAGCCTTCAGAACTTGCTATATATATGCTTGTGTGCATATATCCTTTAGGGAGCCTACATGTACGCATGTCTCCGTGTTTTAGGGTGGTGACAACTTCGATCATGGTTCCTTACAACAGGCGAAAACGGCCGCAATCCTTGACGGGTCGCCATGTTGGTTCTGAGCGGTTGCTCATTTACATTGAAGGCAGCGTGGGCTTCAACGAGAAGGAAGTAGTTTATATATATACGTACTTCCTTCTCGTTGAAGCCCACGATGCCTTCAATGGAAATGAGCGACCGCACAGAACCAACATGGCGACCCGTCAAGGATGGCGGCCATTTTTGCCTGTTGTAAGCAACCGTGATCGAAGTTCTCACCACCCTAAAACACAGAGACGCGCACACATGTAGGCTCCCTAAACGATATATGCACACGCCATCTATTGTGTTTCTCAAAAACTAGAGGTGGCTACATACTACTACTACTACAGAGGCGGAGGAGGAGGATACAACCCATTGTATAAGGAGCTTCACGCCTAAAAGATCTATTTGTTGTAACCGACTCAAGTCTGTCGTAACACTAGAAACCTTGTATGAGAAGAATTGCGATTTGGGCTAGTTGGTTTGAATTCATAGTAATAAGGGCTGCAGCGCGAGCGTGTTGTCCTCTTTTGCCTTCCGTACCTCGACTTTGTCTGTTTCTTCTAGCACATTCGTGCTCGCGCTGCAGCCCTTATTACTTGTATGAGAATACTGCCACTTCAGGGAGAGATGCGGGTTCCGCTGTCTTTTTCCGTTTAGAGCGAGGCATACCCAAAAGTATACAAGCCGTGCGCTGATGCCTGCAGAGATACTACGTGTGCCAGCAATGTCAACCAAGAGCCCTTTTGTTCGAAATTCACTGTTGCTGCTTGAACAACTAATCCCCCCCCCCCCCCACCGAGCACTCTCTCATGCTCAACACGGTTATGTGTTATTTTTCTGCTTACGCTGCGTTCGCCAACCCGGCTAGGTTGCTTTTACGCATTGGTACAAGATACGACGCGTGGAGGTACATAAGAGATGTGGACTTCATACAGAAAACATGACTGTAACGGTGATAGCAAGATCCCATCGAGAGTGCCCCTATAGTTGACTAGTGATGAATTTAGTGCAATAAAAAACGCCATGCCTGAGCTGAAAGCGCAGTAGATTAAGAGCAAAACTTAGAAGAGTGGCATTTCTGTAACCTATTGTTAGCTCTCTTGGTACTAAAACAAGTGCGCTTGCAGGGTACCCACTACGACACAACTTAATTTTTGTCAAGTTGGTAAGCAGCAAATATACCACTATTCGCCAGGTTGTTTCACTCTTCTACCACGCTACATTTCATGTTAACATGGTTCCTTACAGACGACCTTTTGCGAAGGCTTTTCGAGCACCGTTATAATCTGTTGTAGATACTAGGCTGCCACGGAGAGGGACCAGGTTCGAGCCACGTTCCGTCATGTATCTTTTGTTTTCTTCCCTTAATTCACGCGATAGCAGTTACGGGAACTGCGGTGGCGCTCGACTATTGTGCCAAAAGCGGCTCTTTGTGATCTCATAACAGATTTCGTTGTAAGTGCGCCCTCTATAGGTAAAAAAGCAACTATATTAATAACGCGCTTGTTCACTCGCATCTCGATTGATGTTTTCTTGCATAGGGAAAGTGACTAAACCAAACACTAATATTTTTTGTGTGACAAAAAAAAACAAAGAGCTATTGGCCTCGAGGACATACCGTGAATCCACCTACGTGATGACGTCACTCACAGGATGCCGGGTTGTGTTGTCTGCTAGAACAGCGCCTTTCCTCCGCTTTTGCTGTTGACACTGTGCGTACTTCTCTTTGTTTTGATGCTTAGCGCGCAAAGAAGCGGTAAGACCTGATAGTACGGGCAAGCAAACTACGAATCGGGGCACCCGGTGGCCCTCTCGCGTCTAGTTTGCATCGTAAATTTGCAACTAATAACTGGTGCAGCCATGGGGGACGATGCAAGTGGTGTCGCGAAAGCACATCTGCGGTATTTCGCACCTAGAATACAGCAAGGCGAGCGCACGCATCATATCTGTGAACGAAAAACTATCGCAGCGTGGGCCTCTCTAGTGGAGGCCCTCGCGGCCAAAGTCACTAATATTAGGGGTACTATTCAGACATCACATTGCGCCTCTATTTAAGAAACATGAAATACTAAGGATAAACAACGTCACGAAACACAAATTGACAATGCTTATCTATCAAGAGGTACGATCTGATCGTGTTGGGTTTTATCAACGGTATCTTCCGAGTGAGCACAGTCACAGCCCACGGCATAGGACGTATAGAAAAGAATTACCACTCACAAATTACGGTACGCAAAAACTACTGTACTACATTCCCTATTTTCTCAACGAACATCCCACTATATTCATATGTGGGGTTTAAAAACATCCTGCTAATACTACTTTTAGAATATAGACTCTTACTACCAATTTAAAGAATGTTACAGTCGATAAGACGAGCTCAACGAGTGGCTTCCGAAATTTCACTTCGTTGGCCTACTTTGTGGCCCTCCTGCCTACGAAGTCGCCGGGCCACTTCTGGCGCAATGCATCGACACGTGCAATCTATCTAATGACCTTTATTGTGTTTCACCGCCAGACTCGCAGCCAAGCAGCTCTGCCAGCCAAGAATGGTCGACAGCACTTGTATACATACCCATAGGATCCGGAGAGCATCGGTTATTATAAAAGAGCACATAAAAACACGCAAGTGACCAGTGGATCTTCGAGAAAATTTGGCAGGCCTATGTCTCAGAAACTTTACATCGCCACACACGTACTCGTCTCTTTCATACAATACCACCACCACCACCAAACTTCAACTAAAGGAAGCGTCGCTTTGAGAAAAAAAACATTACTGATTCCCATAATAGAAATCGTTAGAACACAAAAGTTGAACCCGTCTTCCCAGAGGTACTTGAGCGCCTATTGTGCATTGATATGTGAAAGCTTGCACAATGTCTATTGGTGTTTGATCGCTGTACCACCATTTGACCTGGATGCACGCACGTTGACGCCTGCATTGGTACTGTCACTAAGGGAAGAAATGCGAACAACGGAAAGCGTCATTTTTCAGCCCCGTCGAATGCGGACGTGCCTTGTCCATCGATTAATGACTGTCCACTTTCAGCCGGTGTCACCGTAACACGCTAGGATCATGCTCCGGTTGACGTCATCATAGCGCAATGGCTTATCACCTGCCAACTGCGCCTGGTACTCGGAACGCAGCCGCTGTGCAATAGCGCCAGGTGCACCCGTATTTAAGCGCTGTGGTGACATCTGCTGAAAGCAGATATTTGCTCAATGATAGACAAGGCATGTCGGTATTCTACTTGGATGAAGCACAAGTTTTTCGCTGTTTGCATTTCTTCCGATAGCGACACTACACCTCCACCCTGAAGACCGATGCCTGATCACGATGTAACCGTTGTGGCAGCTGAAGTCAGACATAGCACATCGCGCAGCCCCCGCAAAGATGGCATCAACGTGTCTATAAAAAGATCACCGTTTCTCCGCTAGGGTGAAGCCATGAATACGATCGCTACAGATGGCATTGTCACACGAAGAACAGCAAGCATCTAAAAATTTGCAGTGCGCTGCTGATGCATAATGAGGCCCAAAAAACACTCACAGGACGAGCATGACCTAGCGATTGTCACAACTCGGCACATAAGCCAATTTAAGTGCATGAGCCAGGTAAGCAGATTTTGATCTTATTCTGTCGTGATCGAAATGTCAAATCTTGTGCAAGATTCCTTCGGCCATTGTACCACATATATATAGAACAAATGGCTGTCCTAAATAGGACTGCTATGGTATGTGTTTAGAAAAAAAGCGTTTTACAATTTCGAATACTTCGTACTCGAACTATGGGAGAGCAGAGAGCTGTCCCGAATTGCGGTGTTGTTTGCGGAACGTTTTCCTCGCACACCCAAGGTATGAAAACCTACACGTGGACAAGTTCATGGCAACGAAGGGAGCGAGCGATGCAGGTTCTTCCCTTTTGATCCCCCCCTCCACCCCCGTGCACTAATTTGTTTAAATGCCCTTTGGTTGGTCTCATTGATATCCTCAAACGTTATATAGATGCGTTAATATCAGATTGATCAATCGCACACTACCTTCATATAAGTTTAGCTGTCGGGGTACGGAGACAAACCTGCACGGCGACTCACCATATGGAGAAGGACAGGCCACATGTTGTTTGAGTGTAGCTGGCGCAGGTCGCCTCGAACGTCCTCAAGCTCATATCGCTGACGAGCGAATGCACAGTTTGGTTGACAACATGTACGTGTGCGAACATCAGGATGTCGCAGTCACCGTCCGGAGGCAACAGCGTCTTGACGGCTGTCGCAATCGTGCCCACCGAGCACAGAAGCGGCGGGACCGGGCGTGGGGGTGGGGTCACCTTCGTGTTCACTGGGCGGACACATGCAAGCAAGGCGGTGTCAGTTACACAATCGTAGTCTCTTATCACATGGATATCAACACGTCTTCTGCTATAAAAGCCTCGCCTGGGTTACCTTACGTGAAAATGGCGCGAAAAAGGACGACCACACGTGAAGAATGACTGTGCACTATAGTGAGTGGACACAAGAGAACAAGCATTGGTACGCTTGCACTTTCCTGAAAAAGCAGATCGATCGTTTCCTGCAGACCTTTCTACGCCGTATCATCACAACTCGACCTTCCCCAGTGCTTTCATCATTTAGCAACTCATGTTGCAGTGATACCATATAGCCGTATTTCTGCTGACGTCGTCCGCACTGGTAGCATTGAGATGGCCACCTCCCCTAAACACAGAGAGGCCCGAAGTGTACACAATACACCCAATAGGTTCGCTCCTGTCTCAATCTGAAATGAGCGATTACGGCAACACGGGTGTTTGACAAGAAGACTGGTGATGTTGCGTTCCCATCGTTCCTCTCGGAAAGCAAGAGACCTAGGTCAGGCCATTGAGAGATACATAATGACGCATGTTGTTTCCTGGATTCTTCAAACGGCGAGTATAGGCAGGGGCGCCACGACAATGCATTGCCGTACCACCCCCTTCACTCCCGTATTATGAACCCTACATGCGTCCGCCTACGTCACCACTCTAAATAGTACCGCTGTGCCAGTTTGCGCTAAAGATCGCGATTAAGGCAGGCTACAAGTTGGCGATGACATTTTACAACAGGGATTGACACTCACTTGCCGCTCACGTGAAGGAGGCTGTAGCAGTCAAAAAATACCATTCGTATCAGGTTCGATCAGGATCGCCAGTGGACCTGTGTCCCCGGGGCTTTTTTGTCGTTGAAACGTAGTCACATGACATATGCGTTCGCGGCTTTTTGTGACGTGTCGAACTACTTCCCCATGGCACGCAGGCTTTGCTGTTGCCATTCGCAGGTTTCTGTCTTTTTTGTTTTTTTTTGTAGGAGATTGAAACTATAGCGGTTTTTTTGGTCGTATCATGCCCTCTCAGCAGAGCATTAAAAATATCGTATGATCTGTATGACATTCGTTCGTCTCTTATCAGTGGGGGCACAAGGCGAAGCTTCAAGGCCTGGAAGTACTGGCACGATGTTGGCACAACTAAACTGAAGGTGAGATAAACAAGCGCGTAAGGTCATGGACCTGAAGAAAGAAACACAATAACTCAGAGATTCATTGCTATGAGACTGTACGATCGACTGTTTGGGGACTCGGAAGATGTGAAAGCATTCATAGTCTTCATAATATGCACTTCAGCTTTCCTAGCTCAGGTAAGAATTACGGAAGTTAGAGACCACGCTAGCCATAATTTTATTCTGTATTCTTGGGTTCCCCATGAGTGGTGCAAAAAGGTTCCACAAGCAGTTTACGGTTTCGACGTGAACTACAAAGAATTATTATTAGGGCTTCGTGTGGAAAACAAATCGCCAATGACATGGACTAGGTCGTCAGCATTATTGTCAATTACATTAACCAATACCAGACATAGAGAAGAATGTGAAGTAACTAGGGATGTACAGTCAGCCACAAAATGACGCGGTCCACGCGAGCAAGTGGGGTGATTGCAATCTGCGCCATCCAGTAGCGAGAAGTCGGCTGTGGAAAGCATTGCTGCTGTGAATGTGCGGCAACAGCAATGCTCTCGCTCGCCACTAGGTGGTGCTGAGGGCAATTTCGTCACGCATTCTCGTGTTCCGTATTATTGTGTGACCGACTGTCCGTTGCATCACATAGCGCGAAGCTCCTGGACGCTAACTGCAGTGGTGGCTACATATTGTTTCCAAACACTCTTAGTGTTTCAGTTGCGTGAAATAAACACATAAAGAGTGTGAATGGACGCATAGAAACTGCACCAATGAGGTAATAAACGTTTTTAGGATTAGCTTCTTTGCTTGACACAACCTTATTGAAACCAGCCAATAATGAAGAAAAAGAACAATTATGGAATGCTAATTAACCATCTTAAGCATATTGTAGTAATGGTGAGATAGACCATATATTGGACGGATGAGGAAGACAATCGGTGCGTAGCTGAATTGGTATATATCGGGTGCGTAATTCGAAAGTTGCCGGCTCGGTCCTTTCAGGCCGCAAGCTGTCTTTTAGTTCACTTGGCTTGCTTTACAAACCTACATACAAAATACCAAAATGCACTTAAACATTGAAATTAGCATTCCTTATACTTTCTTTGTCTTTACTGACTGTGGTTTCTGTTAAGGGTGGCTTTAGCGGCCCTTCAAAGCATCATGAAGGACGCACATCTTTTTCCAACTTACCCCCAGCGGGAGTGGACAGATCTGGTCGCTTCGGCACCACTGGAGTCTAAAACAGAGATGATTCAGAAACGGTGAGAAACAATTTGCACGTAGAGTCCACAGTTTGCGGTTTGTCTAATGTGTGAACCCGAGCTTCTGTATACGTGGTGCCATCTGTCAGTGCAGAGATGAAAGGAGGCAAACAGAGAGTCGTTATTTCAGTGCTCGAGTGCATTCTGATTTACTGCTGGAGTAAACTTTCGGCTGTGGTGTAATTCAGAAGTCACTAACATTTGAAATTCGTCATTTAACATTTAAAATTCGTAACATTTAAATTCGTAAAAAATTGTGGGAAGCAACAAAGTCATTTAGAGATGCTGGCACAAACGTCCGCATTATCTACGATCACGTCTTCATTGACAATGTTCGTCACGACTGGGACAATGCTTCTAACTGTCTCATTCGGTGCAGCAGCCGCACAAAAGGTATTAAAACTGCACTCCTTCCTCCCGGTCCTCGATGACTACCACAACAGAAGAACGCTAACTTACACCTCTTAAACATCAATGCTAGAAGTATAGTAAACAAGTTTCCTGATTTCTTATCAATAATTTTAGCACATGGAGCGCACATTGTTGGTGTCACTGAGACCTGGCTGCATGAGAGTATCCATGATAGTGAAATCACTCCCCCTGGATTTACCGTACTTCGGTCGGACAGGTACAGTGGGCGAGGAGGCGGGGTAGCACTTTTTTTTCGTTCAGACTTGAAGTTTCGTGCAATTCAAGGGCCTATAGGAATAGAGTCAGTGTGGTGCAAATTTTACTTTGAGCACATCACTATCATAATAGGCGTGCGTTTTTTACCGACCTCCGGGATGGTCAGCGGATTCTTTGATCACCTTGACAAATTTTATTAGTGAGCATAACTATAGTAGCGGAAATATAATCCTTATGGGAGACTTTAACGCGCCTGGAATTCAATGGTCCACCCTGTCTTTAAGCGATTCGCCCTCACTAACAGACACAGAGCTGCTGAAATTTTCTCTGTTTCTCGGCCTAACCCAAGTTGTTCGAGAATTTACAAGAGAGTCTGCAGTTCTCGATTTAGTCTTTGTTAGCCCTACTCTCTTAGAAAGCACGTTTAACTGCCTTGTCACTGAAGGAATTTCTGATCATAAAGCCGTTGTCTTCTCACTCTCATGTCGTGTACTCACACCGAATATTGTGTATTCAACTCATCATGACTTTAACCGTGCAGATGACGTCAATATCCTAACAGTTCTAGAGGATTCATTTGACAAATTTGAACGGCTTAGAGAATCTAGCGACGTCAATGATTTGGTTTCTTTCTTTGAAAGTCTTGTGCATTCTTGTATCACCCGCTTCATTCCAATAAAAACTAAGAAAAAAAATGTCTGGTTGCCATGGATGACGAGGGAGTTGTTACAACTGACACGTCGCGTAAAAAGGTTACATTGTTCGATTAGACGTCAGACCTCCCCGTCACTAAATGAGTTCAATAAACTTAAAGAGGAATTAAGAGCCAAAACTAAAGCCGCCAAAGATTTCTGTTACCAAGTCACAATGAAAACCCTGATGGTAACAAATCCAAGAAAATTATGGAGCTCCATCTTGCCGAGTTCAACGGAACCAAACACAATGGACATTCATGGAGCTTCCACAAGCGATCCTGTCACAATAGCCAATGCTTTTAATTCTTATTTTAAATCTGTTTTCACCATTGATAATTTTCAAACACCTACCTTTTCACTGGCCAACCCTGCACCCTCAATTGGTGACGTATGTTTATCTGAAGAAGGCATTCTAAATTTGATACTTAACTTAGACACTAAAGAAAGCCCTGGCCAAGATGATATTCCCAACAACTTTTTAGTATGATATGCTTCATGTACAAGCCGCTACCTTATGATAATATACAAAAAATCCCTAGCAACAGCAACAGTTCTATTATCATGGAAACTTGCTAAAGTGCTCCCCTTTTTTAAAGCTGGATGCAAATCCTCGCCGGCTAATTACAGGCCTATTTCCTTGACATCTCACTCATGCAAAATCTTGGAGCACGTCATATACAAACACATAGTAGAATTCCTGGAAGCTAATAATATTCTAAACCAGTTTCAACACGGATTTAGTCGCGGTTTCAGTAGAATCACTCAACTTACCGAATTTAGTCATGATGTTATTGAAGCCATTGACTCGGGTTATCAGGTAGATGCTATTTTTATTGACTTATCGAAAGCTTTCGATACAGTTCTCCATTCCAAACTTTTACTTAAACTTAATTTCATATTAAAAAACCCGCTGATCGTAGGTTGGATATCTAGTTTTCTCTGGCACCGCTCGCAGTATGTATTTTTTCACTCTATGGCATCCAGTACCGCTGATGTAACTTCAGGTGTTCCGCAGGGCTCAGTACTTGGACCCCTTCTTTTCTTATTATTTATTATTGACATATCCGGTAACATAACGTCTCAGATTAGGCTATACGCCGATGACTGCGTGATTTATCAAAAAATTACTTCTGCTGAGGATCACGAGAAACTGAACAACTAATTTTCCAATTTTTGCACTTGGTGCCAAACCTGGCAAATGAATGTAAATTTCGAAAAAACTGTGTGCATGACATTTTCTACTCGGTTATCCGCTCATCTATTTCCCTACTCATTCGATGGTTGTCATATAACAAGAAAAATGGAATATAAGTACCTCGGCCTTCATTTCACTCACAACATGTCCTGGTCCAAACACATTGATATTACGTATAATAAAGCCCTGAAGAGATTAGGTTACTTGCAGCGCGTTCTCCGTGTAGCACCAAAAGAAACCAAGCTCTTAGCATTTAAATCGTTAGTACGGCCAATACTCGAATACGGTTGTGTCGTGTGGAATCCACTCAAAACGTCCGACATTGCAAAACTGGAATCCATACAAAACAAAGCCATCCGTTTTATCTGCCGAAGATATGACCGGGATTTTTCGCCTACGTCCAACTTAGCACCTTTGGGTTTATTATCTTCTTTATCTGCCAGGCGCCATTCAGAATGCTTAAAGCTCCTGTACACCTTGATTAATTCGCCGCGCTTGCCCTCGCTCCACAGCTATCTGCAGTTTGCCACACCACCCTCTTTTCACACCAGGAGTCAACATGCGCTAAATATTACGCCATTTCACCCCAAAACTGATTTGTTTAGGTATAGTTTTTTTCCCTTCACTATTGAGCTCTGGAACTTGCTACCCGGCGATACCCGCGGGCTCCCTTTGGAGCAGTTTCTGAGTGCAATATCACATGTGTGTTAAGTAGATATTTCCATGTTCTTTTGCTTTCTGTGCTCTTGTTCTGTTCATTCTGTATCTTGTGTAGTACTATGAACCACAAATTTGTGCCATATGCTCATGTTTTTGTTTCTGCTTGTTATCACCTGATCATTTGTATGTCCACTCCTGCAATAGCCCTAATAGGCGCTGCAGTATGTATAAATAAATAAATAATAAAATAAATAAACAAAACCTCCGAAAATGAACATCTTTGTTTGTGGTTTGAAGATGCACTTCGAGCTGTGGATACAATTTCCCAGCAACCGGTTGTTCAGCAATCAACTTTCCGTATAAGTGACCATGCAAAAAGATTTAGTTTTAGACATTTTCGTGGTGCTTTCGGATTAGCAGGCATGAGTGCGCTCACGTAAAATCACGGCACCATCTAGTGACACAATGAGCAATAATTAGTATTCTTTACAAACTTCCCCTTTGGCCACGTAACCTGCGTGGCTTCCGCTGCTACTGCTGTTACTGCTGCTTCTGATACAACTAATACCACGACTACTGCTACTCCTCTTACTGTAACTGCTGCCTCATACTGTTACTGGTACTCCTACTTCTTTACTACTACCACTTCTTCTTTTACTACTACTACTACTACTACTACGACAAAGATGACAGCGGCAAAAACAGCACAAGGCACCCTATAGAACAGCTTCGCTATAAAAAAGCGGACGTCAATATTTCCAAACACCTAAGTGCATCGAAATCAGTCCACGACGTCCATTCAACCAAGTGAAGGTGCTCGTACTATACCCGAGAAGGAACCCTGGCGTTGCAGCAGTCGCGGCGATGTGACGTCACGGCAAGGACTCGCCTACTCGGCTGCCGTTTGCCGCCTTCTTCTGCGCCCGTCGTGTACACGCTGTTTAGTGACAGGCTGGGGGTGATTACTCCTCAATATTATGACGCAAATCTCTCAAGGTACAAGACTGAAAGTTTCACAACTGGTGAAAGTTTTCCAAGTTGTAGAAATTTACAATTTAGCTCAGCAGAGACCCCTCCGAAAGGAAGAGTTGTTGCGAAAATGATGATGCGAAACAGAGGAACGCTTCGTTGTTTTCATCGCGTACGCCCAGAAATGGGTGCTAAAATATTCTAAGTGGTGTTAGTGCGATTACATCTAGGCGTTGATTCCGGGGTTAAAACACGTGTGCCGAAGTATCAGAAGGTTAAATAAGATGCTTTGAATTCGACTTAGCAGATCACGGTTTATTGTCATAGTTACGCCTGCACTCCCGAATTATATAAAACACCTCACTGAATAGCGTTGTCTCCAACGGGACAGTTTAGTGAATATGTCTGTGATAAGTCGTCACTTGACATATACAGGAAATAAAGAAATAATACTGCCACACACACAACGATTTCAGAAATGATGTGGTGTCTGTTCACTCGGATCAGATATGCACGTTTTCTTCTCATCATTCACAAAAAATTAGGTTGCCAGTAGACCCTAACTTGCGTGAAGCACGATCTTCTACCTCGTCACAAACGACAATGCTCACTTCTAGTGGGAGCACCACTGATTGTAACGGTTCCGAAAGAAACGCGAGAAATTCGTGATGGTGCACTCTGCGATGTGACTCAATATTATTTAAATATCCTTCACCTCTAGGAGGCGACGACTGGTCTCACACGTCATGTCTACCTACAGGCAATAAACTGCATGAAAAGTTGATATAACGTGGCTCCATAAACTGGTACGAGCGCCTCAGCACCATTGCTGCGATGCTGCACAAAGACAGAATCTGACAGCATTAATGAAGAATTACTGCACATGACGTAGACTGCACTTCACCTGATTAATTTCGGTAAAGTTATGCACCAAAACTATTGCAAGAGACACTTGAAACTAAGCAACATGGTGAGTGAGCAAGTAGACAAGGAAAATATACACAACAGCTGGGGTGGTCTGGAGAGAGCGCATTGGGATGTCTTGGGAAAATCTACATTGCATGTGATCGCGGGGCTTGGGACATCATTGAAAGTGCTTTCCGTAACACATGGACCATTCCGATACAAACAACTATGGTGGAGAGATACACCCTCATATCACTTCTTAAAGGAATCGCTCATCAACAACTCAACTTATTAGTGTGAACATTGCGTTTTGCATATCAAGGCGATGACACAATGAGTTCGCTATATCTAAGCAGAAGTACGTTATCACTTTTCACACCCGTTGGAATGCGGCTGCCGTGGCAAGGAACGAAACCCTTCATCAGGGTCAACTACGCGACACAGACCTGTACAGTCCTCTCATATTACGCTATACGGCTGAGCGTGAGCGTGATTGGCGTTTTCACAGAAGCAAAAGTAAACATTTTATTGTTTTATCAAGAACATTATTCATTCTGTTTTCATCATTATATATCAGCTTGGGAAACAGCGCACCATGTGAACGCATGTTATGTAGGCGCGCCGCGGCGGGCATCGAACAGTCCGTGCCGTGACATCACCCAGGCCTGCCGCCAGGCGGTGTCACCTCATCTTCTACTACTAGCAGACGTCGTGGATTACGGCGGGAGATATAATGAATGCGCGTACTTACAGTCTTTGGGATTACTATGATGGAAGGCTGCCCGCCGCCACTGCCACCGCCACTGCTACCACCGCTACCACCACCGCCGCTACCGCCACCGCCGCCGCCACCGCCGCTACCACCGCCGCCACTCTGCTCGTCCGTATCGGCATCATCCACGTCGACGTCTACAGAGAAAAGCAGCAAAAATGGAGAGGTTCACCTTATGGGGAGGGGGGGGGAGGGATTTATTTTGGCGGGCAGTAAAAGTAATAACAGCAGCCCTGCGCGGAACAAGCAGCTCAGTCACTGCGAAAGCTGCAAGGACAGCTTGCGTATTGCCCGTTGTAAACATTTTTGGTGTAACTAATACCCGTTCTGCATGCGTAAAGCAGAGTGAATTGGGTTGGAGACATCAAACGGCCCACTTGTAATGCGATTGGCATTGTGTGACGCCGGATGATTATTTGATGCTACTACTGTGCTATAATATTTATGTTGACGAGATTACTCACCCGCCTTGACGCCTCTTTAGGGTGTATTCCCTAATTAGGTTCAAGCGTAGGTCAGTAAACTCATTCGTGAGTCGACTGACTCGTACTCACTCGGACTCACTCATAATGAGATCATGCCGTGAATCTGAAGAGTGGAGTGCGGATAAGTAATTTCTTGGTGATGGTTAGTGCGTCCGATGGAGTCTGGCTAAATAAAAAGTTTAGTGAGCCTGACTGAGAGTCGGTCCAAAGCGCATATATTTTTCTTGAGTGAGTCTGAGTGTGTACCACATTTTTTGTTGAGGTATGTTTAAAACTGAACATTTTATTACTCATCATTTTGAAAATGGAGCTGCTCTTCATCGGCATTCACTTCGTGGATCTGCAGCATTTTTTTTTCTTCCCACGGTCCCACATTCACTCATACTGCGATCAAAAACACTTACTCCCAACGAAAGTAGCGAGCACGACTACTAAGCCAAGTCCCAGGAGAATGAAGCAGCAGATTCCTACGAGCCAGAAGCTGGTCCTGTCCAAACCTCCCGTCCCTGCAAAGAACATAGATAATATTGTACGTTGTTGCATATTAAGTGGCGTACGCTATAGTATGGTGTCATTGGTGATGGGGAACCGACGGCAAGATTACTATTCCCTCCCCTTTTAAGGGGACCGGGCGCAATCGCTTTGAGTTTTATGTACGGTTCCTTTCTCCTTCGTTTACCTTCTTTCTCTCTATTTTCTGCCTCCTCGTTCTCTCTATCACCTTGTTTGTTTGTTTTTTTGTTTGTTTTTGTTCCTTTTTTTCCTTTATACTCATCTATTCATCTTTCTCTTCATATATGTCATTACGCCTGTCTCTGTTTCGATCTGTGCGCACGCTTTCTCGTCGCATGGAGTTATAGCATCCCACGCCGGACAAGTCACACCAGCGGGCGCCGGCTGCACTCATTAGGCGAGATAAAAAAGGCGACGAAGAGAGAGCAAGTCCGCGTGATAACGGAAGCACGTGTGTCAGGGAAGACGACGAAGAGCGCACGCCCGTGTGTGTGTGTGTGTGTGCGTGTGTGTGTGTGTGTGTGTGTGTGCGTGTGCGTGTGCGTGTGTGTGTGTGTGTGTGCGCGCGCGTACGTGCGTGCGTGTGTGTGTGCGTGCGTGTGTGTGTGTGTGTGTGTGTGTGTGCGCGCGCGTGTGTGCGTGTGTGTGTGTGTGTGTGTGTGTGTGTGGGCGGCGTGCGTGCGTGCGTGCGGAAAACCAGACAAAATGCGCACCGCTACAACAGCTTCGCTGGTAAAGTAGAGCTCTTCCTATGAGCCATAACATGCACTGTCCTACCCAGCTACAACTGCTTTGCTCGTGAAATAGGGCTCTTTCTAGGAGGCCAATTATGCACTGTACTGCGCGAGCTGACTCCAAACTGTGCCTGCAAATTTACTGATTTCATACGTTCACCAAACTGCTGTTGATCCCTCCTTTTCCCAGTTTTTGTATCCACTCCACCCACTCCACCACCTTAAGTGACCACCAGCTATCACACACACACACACACATATATATATATATATATATATATATATATATATATATATATATATATATATATATATATATATATATATATATATATATATATATATATATATATATATATATAGGCAGGCATGGTGGTTGAGTGGCCGTAGCGTTGCATATAGTCTAGTAGATCCTCCGTGAGCGGTCACAACGTGGTTTATTTCGACGTTTCGGCCTAGAGTCTGGCCTTCATCAGGAATAAAGATACAGTTTGTCGGTGCTCAGCTTATACAATCTCAAATCAGAGGGCAAGGAAAGAGGAAAAAAAAGGAAAGAAAAAAAGAAAAGAAAAGGAAAGAAAAAAAGAAAAAAGAGAAAAATAATATACGGTGGACGCCCCTGGGGTGCCCCCTTCCACTTTTCCCTCCACTTCCCCCCCCCATCTCTCTCCCCCCTCTCCCCTTCACCTTTCTGATGTCAGCGGTCTGAACGGAACGGAAACATACACAGACCGCTGACATCAGAAAGGTGAAGGGGAGAGGGGGGAGAGAGATGGGGGGGGAAGTGGAGGTAAAAGTGGAAGGGGGGCACCCCAGGGGCGTCCACCGTATATTATTTTTCTCTTTTTTCTTTTTTTCTTTCCTTTTCTTTTCTTTTTTTCTTTCCTTTTTTTTTCCTCTTTCCTTGCCCTCTGATTTGAGATTGTATAAAGCTGAGCACCGACAAACTGTATCTTTATTCCTGATGAAGGCCAGACTCTAGGCCGAAACGTCGAAATAAACCACGTTGTGACCGCTCACGGAGGATCTACTAGACTATATATATATATATATATATATATATATATATATATATATATATATATATATATATATATATATATGGTCAATAGGCAGCGTAATTACTTCTTGTACTTCTTGTTACTGATAAATCAGCCATGATGTCAGGTAGCCCTGTTTGTTTCCTGATACATTGATCTGCCTGAGGCTTACAATCAGATATTGCAGGATATACGTGCGCGAAAATAAAGAGATAACAAAACCAAAGCCACCTGTGCAGTAAATGTAAGCTACTTTGCGTCAGCGATTCGGAATTATGAGAGGAACGCTGCACTACAACTAGTAAAGACCTGCCCTCTTCTGCTCCACATTTGAGCAGCATGCATTATATATGTACTGTCGGGGTCAAATAAAAACCCAAAACACGGCAAGCATTCACAATTTTATAGTACACGTTATCCAGTTATCACCATGGTGAGGCTCGCACATTCGCAATGCTTCAAAACCGTGCGCGTGCGCCAGTCAATGGTGATGACAGCACGGCACGCACTGCAGTCATTAATATTCACCGTTGCGAATATTTGCCGCTGTTCGGGTTTCGTCTGACACCGATAGTACGCGTTGCGGCAACTGTAGGGACCACACTTCCAGCGATGAGTGCATGACTGCATAAGACGTATATATTAGTTGCGCAAAGATGTAACGGTCTGCTGCTTTTCTGAGCCAACTGTATTTTACTGTTAATGATGGTAACCTTAATACAAGACTCATTTTCTTCTGTACCACCTGCATGATGTACTTAGTTTTCGGGTGGGGGGGGGGGCGTATGATACGGTCAGTAGTTGCTCTGTGATTAAGTTGCTTGTTGCGTCTACACACACATATAAAGACACATAAACTATGCTATAGCATATTTTTGTGTGTGTGTGTGTGCACACACACACACACAATGTATGTCACTCCAAGCTAGGTAACAATCACTAAACGTACACATTTCCACAAGTGTGTACACACACACACACACACAAACACACACACACACACACACCACACACACACACACACACACACACACACACACACACACACACACACAAACACACTAAATTTTTGCTCTTGCAATGAAAGCAATACTACGAGCGTCCACTTACTCAGTTCCTCCAGCTGGAAAGAAAAAGAGGATAATTGATGTTGTAATCAGAGGACCCACCTAGTTAAAATGATGCTTAGAAATATATGAAAAAAAACAGAGACCGACGCATATTATTACGTGCTGTGCTATTATATGCTCTATGCTGTCCCTCAAGAAAGTGTCACCTTCAATCAAGTCGGTGTGCAGGAAATACTCTGGCAGATCCCTCTCATTGTGCTAATCAATATCATGCGAAGCTGTCAGCTACAGCCGCACACGCGACACTTTCAGACAATTTCATAAAAGGTGGGCTGGCGTAATTTAGGCACTGTGAATATCGTGGGCTTCCCAGGCATCTCGCCAACACAGGTGCGGAAAAAGTAGCTCACGGTCTGCAGCAACGCCGGCACTCGTTATAACACAGGCGTCACTTTCACCGAACAATAAGAGAGTGAATAGCCATCCCCGGTGAAGTCATGCGGTGACGAGCGACGCTAGATTACAGCTTCTTGCGATACCAAGGAGCGCGTATGCAAACGCTGGTGGGCTTCATTGAAATCGCCAACTACAACAAACAACGCGTCTTTCTAAATTACAAAACTCCCTATAGTGTCCCAGAGGCTATATAGTATGAAAAACCTGTGGTACATGCCCACACATTATCAGCCGTGAAATTCGGGTATGGGCCACAGGTGAGCGGCAGTAAGGGTTTCATTGCGTATACTCGACAAGCAGGTGTTTCCATCTCATCACCTGTCAATCACGTTCGTCATTCTCTCATACCCTTTGATGTCTGCTTTGGTGTATACCACGTTAAGAAGGTGACCGTGAGAACACCCAGGCGTAGGCCGCTATGCTTCAGACGCTGATGAACCTTAGTTAAAAATGGAATGGCGATAAGCTTTTGACACAAAAAAGCGAAAAAAAAAAACGCTCCAGAAAAAGTCACTATACTTTCTACCCTACGCTCCCACACCACTTAGACAACTCGCAAAAGAGATCTCCTGTTGTGTGTTTATTTATTTTTTTTATTTTGTTATTTGTGCGTTTGAGCGCGTGTATGTACCTGGCAAATGTGAAGTGATATCCCACAAAAGAGAAAAAATTGTTCTACGAATATGGACAAAATCTTACATGTGGACATCTCCGAACCACCTGCAATACATAAAAAACACTCAATGAACCAAAACTTCATCGCTTATTGTGATGTTTATCATTACTAAAAGACAATGATGCCAAGGAAAGTACAGCGGATGCTATTGGTAGGATTGGTCATGTGTATGTCAAGAAAGGGAAGTGGATGAAAAGGTAACTTACCCGCTGGTATAAGAATGAGTTGATTTTGAAATTTCATGCTTGAAATTGGCCGATAAGTTAGTAAGCTCATTTCTCATTCAATAATAAAAGCGCCTAATTGATCATTGTAACGTCACCCCATAGCTTGCACACAATACCGCTAATTGAAGCACTTATATTTTAGTCTCCAATGAAAACATCCAATCTTCGCTACAGTAGAATACGCCAAGTGTTTTCACACTTTGATATCATCTCTCCGCCAGATGGATGCCTCTTAAGTTAAAATTCAAATGGTGATTTTCTTACATTCTCGTCGATGTTATAGGGAATAAGTTTAATTTTCTTTCGTGTTTACCATTAAAAGACCATCCATTCAGTCTAAGACTGCATGATCTATATTGATTCTTAACAACTAGATAGCGCTGAATTGAGTTTGATTTGATTTGGCGGAGAGCGATGTTTCATTAACTGTGCTGGGCCAAATCTCTATTGCCGAACGATGCTGTAGTGCCTGTCTTCGTAATCTTGCATGCTTACCGAATGGGCTGCTCATTCCTGAAACAGCGCTGTCCGGTGATTCAGAGAAATCTGGGGAGGCTGCAGAAAAGGTTGAACATACAAGGCAAGCGTTATTTATATACTTTGGTCAATTTTTCACTGAACATTGAGGGGATTCTTCTAAGGTATGCGTTAGACATGCGTGAGTTTTTCGCATGCAGCGTACAACAGACTTTGTGTAGAGTGAGAGAGACAACAACCTCCGAGAGAGAGAGAGTGGTGTCTGATGGATTTGCGATTAATCCATGAAGCCGTCCAACACATGATATTGCAGTGTCCTGGTGATGTTATTATACCTACTGAGCTTTTGCTGTTCAGAGTACGCGTGAACTGTTCAGAAGTGGAGTTTGGCGATGACCCTTAAGCTCATTAACTGGGGCCCAAATGGTGACAAACACTGTGGCAAGCCTAAGGAAGTAATCAGCCTATGTAGGGTAGTTATGATAAATTAAAGAAATATAAGAAAGAGACAGGCATGTAACTATGTTCAGATAGAACTGTTTATATCATGCGCAACTGTCGCAAGCAGGGTAAGCATTCGGGGTGGCGGTTGAATTCTCTCCTCCTGGCTAGAATATTATAATTTTGCGTGTGTCTATAGGCACGCGCGCATACAAAAAATATCGCACGATTATACATAGAGGTTCATTGATCCATGACCTACCCCCTCACACACACACACACACACACACACACACACAAAAGACCTGGCTGTGCCCCTGTCAACGAAATAACTAGCTTGACGCTTCGTCATCGATCCAGTATGCTAAAAGAACGCCAAATAAAATTATCAGATAATCGTCGAATTCAAGAGGTTCAGTATGCCCAGCCTTGCTAGTTAATTTAACTAAAAAGATCCTTAGAAAATAATTCTTTAGAAGTGCACTGACGATTACACACGGGAAACGAAACAACACAGGACAGTGTCGATCCCGCAGCTGTGTTTACTAGAAATTGCATAGCCGCCGTGCATTCCAGACACCTTGCACATTGTCTCAATGGTGACGTCCCAGTGCAGGTAAAAGGCGTAGGTGAGATATCGCAGCTGTTTGTAATTGCTTTGTTCGGGCGTCGTTGAAGACAGGACCTTTGTCAGAGAAGCATTAATTTACTTATAACAGAAGAGCGCACGCGCCCTACAGCTTCAATTCGCCGCAGAGGCGAAGAGTGCGCTGAGTCTCCCAACGTCAGTTTCTTATTCTTGACGCCACAACAGAACAGGCGCTTCTCTTGAAGGCACTGGTGATGTGCCAACATAATACCGACATCCACGTGCCTATCCAGGATGTGCAATATGTTCGACCACTAGGAACGCATCGAAGTGCCAATACCCTCGATTTAAAAAAAAAGCACCCATTTTCCAAGAATGGGACACCACCATAACCGCTGAAAGAAGCTTTAATGCCTGTGCATCATAGATGTCACTCTGCGGGCTCACAAACACTTTGCCTAGCATGATGTCGCAGAGCGCGGGAACCAAACTGTGTTTTGCTATTATTTTAGTGACAATTCAAATTACTACCTTACAGATGCATGGATGACAAACTTCATTGGGATCCTGAAGGATCCCACTCTCGTTTTTTTAGGGGTAAGATCCCGGGCCGCTCCCACGTAGAGACGGGGAGGCCTAGCCTCAACGCCGCATTGGGGGCCTTCTGGATAGCGAGCAGCAAAATCCTTCGCGTGAATACCGAGTTGCGCGAAATTTGGCTGTGCACTTACTCATTGTATCAGGCTGCCTGTAGAAACACACGAGAAAAAGTCCGGCTAAAGCTCGGTTGAGGACAACCGTCGTCGATCGCTGCAACGGAAAGAGTATCGTGCCTGCACGTACTCGTCTCGAGCTGCGCGAGAATTGCTTGGTTGCGCCAAGCAATATCACATTGATCCACTACAGGAAAGGGGCCAATAAACCGTCACTTAAAAGCGTTGATGGAATGAGTCAGCTAAAAGGTACCATGAGTCACTCGGTGCAATTTAGAAAAAAACCAGGAGAACGACAAAAGGGTTAAGAAATCGAGAGAGATAGTAGGGTGTCTCAATTGATATTTAAATGAAGCAAGAGAGCGTGGGAGGAACCCCTGGTCTGGTTGGTTGGATGGTTGTTCCTCACAGCCCTGGCGCAACCCACCATGGGGGATCGGCCATGAAACAGACGGTGCCTCATTTGTGAGATCGAATCGTTTTAACAGGCGGGTTATTTACCGGCTGAGTGTCCCTAAAAACTCTTGAATCGGCCCACTGTATCTGGCCCACTTGAGGTCCACGGCGTAGAGCGTCGTCCTAAAGCTTCCCGTTGCGCAAAGCGTAAAGAAAAACTGATAAGGGACGGAAGATATTTTCAGAACGTTAAATCGTTATTCGAAAGATTGTAGGCGAGGTTCCTCACAGCCCTGTCAATAGTCTGCATATCACTACGTGTTCAATTTCAACGCGAGTGCATTAAAGCGCTTGCTTCAGAGAAATGCAGGTGTCGGCGCTGCTCTGTGCTAGAGAAGTTCAGCGTTGTGACCACTGAATTGAGAAAGATACAAATGAATAAATAATGTAGAGATCTTCGGCTTAAGTGAGAATTGAGCCCTGGCCGTCTGCGTGGCAAGCAGGTGTTTTACCCCATAGCTGCGCCATTGCTCGACGCGGTATAAGAAAAAATGAGCTCCATGAGAATGCCATAATGGTAGGAGTTGTTTTAGCTTGTGTAATGTCGCATGTCACAACCGTATGATAGGATCTGGCATCAAACTTGTAGATTCCGCGACAATTGTGTGTTTTAAAGTCCCGTATATTGAAAGCAATGTGGTATAATTATTATTATTAGCAACAGCATCAACTAATGTACAGCTGAGCGGGTGTGCGTAGTACCTTACGAACCTATAGTGGGCACTTCCCAACAATACTTTCAGTATGCATTCGGAAATAATTTCAAACACTCAATACATGTTACGTGCCCAGTTTTCTTGCCTTGCGGCATAGTTGAGGCGTACACAGAGAAGCCATGTGGAGGAGGCTAGCGATTGAGAAAGCATTGCGCAAGGGGCCCTATTGCGCAGAAGCATTCACAGAGTTTTTTTCGGGGAGAGGGGGGTCCATTTTGATCTGATGGGGGGGGGGGGGGGTCGAGCTCGAGCTGGCCTCGTGCCATTTTTGGCTTATTATGCTATGGTGAAACAAATTTGGGAGAAAGGGGTCGTAGGCCCGTTGTGCCCCCCCCCCCCCATGTGGCTTCATCACTGCTATGCGCTACTACGTTCTACTTTTGAATATTATTATTATTGATAATACTTTTACTACTAATAGTTATAATATCTAGGGTTTTTACGTCTTGAATCCACCACATATAATTATGAGAGACGCCGTAGTGGTGGGCTCCGGATATTTCGACAATCAGGTGTTCTTTAACGCGCACTCCTATCGCACCAGTACATGGGTCTCTACCACTTCACCTTCACTAAAATTCAACTGCCGGGACCGAACCCGTGACCTTTCGGTGGGCAGACAAGCACCGTATCCACTGTTCCACCGTGGCGGACTGTACTCTTGAAAGCCAAGCTCGAGCGTCCCCCAAATTCATTCGGAGATAAAAGATTTGGCTACGTGATGCTCTGTTGCTGGCGTGGTGACCTTAACTAGGCACTAGGTATGGACACTCTCTAATCAGCGCTGCTGTGCACCAATGTACTCCTTGAGTTAACACTGCACGTCGTCGTGCTGTCGCTCTGATCTCGGAGGCCGCGTATCAAGAGGAGCGTCGTTGTGATCTGCTCCGCAACGAGTCTCAACAATGCTTAGCTCTTCACAGCAGTGAATGCCCCTTATCTCTTTGTCTCCTGATGCTGGGATGTCACATGCACCCTATTAGGAAAAGGCAAAGAGACATCGAATTGATCCCAGTTTCATTATAGCGAGAGCTAAATTGGCCGTATTCTCGCCGCTTCCCTGATGCCTGAGGCAGCACGGCACGCTGAGTCGTTGGATCGTCGCAGCTGGCGGTGCAAAGCCCCTTGATCTCAGAGCGCCATCTGGCATGATGTGAAAGGAGGAGCCGGTGAAAATACGTTGCAACAACTGAGGAGGAACCAGAATTCTATCGTAAATATAGATGAGGTGGCTCGGTGGGCATGGTCGGCAGATATGGAAAGCGAGTCGGAGAGACTGAAGGAAGCCAGGGCTCATCGTCGGAACGAAACCAAGAGGAGGCAGCGAGCCGAGGGGACGGAAGAAGAATGAGCCACGCGCCTCGAGAAGGGTAATCGTACAAAAAACCAAGCTAAGCAATAAGATTAACCGTGCCTCTCGCTACTCACACCCATACATGACTGAGTTGAGCCACAATATTGTTATCAATATATTTTTTTCGAATCTTTGGAAAGCTGGAAGTATTCGGAAGAGAAAAAGGCTTTACTCTGTATAAATGCCAATCATAGCGATCTTTCATTAGTTTGTGGCCATCAAGCCCAAGAAACATCAAGTGACTGCTGCTGCAGCCCTTCAGGGAGAGCACTCCTACAGTGACCAATCGCCTCGAAGCGCTGGTGTACGATGCCTACACTACGGTGGCATTGGCATTGAGGTCAATGCTGCATTCTTCCAAGCGATCCGTTTTGCCATCTTTCCGCCTACGCATAAAGTCAGCAGAACAACTTGCTCAGACGAAGTACATCTTTTATGGTACTCTTCCTTCCGCTATAATGCCATCATCTACGAACTACGCCAGACAGCAGGCGCCGAGTGGTGCATCTGTATACGTTATTAAAGCGAAAACTCTCCAACCAAAGGTCTGCGAAGATTCTTCATAGTGTCAGAATTACCTTGAGCTGCGACAGTGCAAGTGGGGCAGGTAAGGTCATGCAACGAGATTCACTGCGGAGAGGATTGAAACTGCACTCGCTCAGAACCTTGCCACTGCTGTACCATGTGATCAAGTGCGTGCGTGCGCTTTGCCAAAACACGTGAACCATACTTTCCGCTCGCGATAACCAGGTTTGGGAGAGGTGA